TGGTTAAGCATTGTAATTAGTTGGTGGTCGGTCTCGTTGCACATGTAGGTATTATATACGTTCGTACACAATATAGATACATTGGAAACGTGCGCACCGCAATGTAAGTCGTGTAACTAGCTTAATAGGAAGTTGTTTGATGACATGACGATAGCGTTTCAAGAAAGCCAATTATGGTTTCCAAATTCTATACTATCTGTTATTCTATATATAGTGTAATACACTTCAGAGATACACATATACTCTTGTTTGGAATATAAATTTAAATCTATCAAGTTTATTTTTTTTAAATCTTTTATTATTTTTATAATATTCTTAAAAGTAACCCCCATCTGACCCTAACTATAGTTAGGGTTACTTTATAAAGTAATACTATCTTAACATGACGTTTAACTAGAGTAAAATATTTAGGGCTAATGAAACCAAAACTTATACTTATGCTACAAATGATATAATGTAGGTCAGGACCTAACCTACCTTATTTAAAGAACTTAAATTGACCTACAGTAATATCGTACTTTAACGTAACCCACTAGGACTGACATAATTTAACCAAAACCTGATATTTAATAATAAATAAACCTAAAACTAACATAATCTGAACACATTTAATCTACTATTATATAAACTACCTCAAACCTACCTATAATCTATGAATAATCCTTAAGTCCTCAATTTAAATTTACCTAGGTAAGCTTGATTGAAATTGAAATTAATTGACCCGACGTGACCTAAAGTAACCTAGACAATGCCGCCTTGAATTCTAGGTTCGATTTGGTCTGCTTTTGGTTTGAAACAGTTTAAAACAGAAATAATCAGAAACAGGAATTATAGATCGGGTCTAACCTAATTTAGACGAATTTATCCTGATATTCATAAACAAAACCATGTAACCTAAGTGAACTTATACTAAACTAATCCTTAAAAAGTTATATAATTTTTAAATTCTTAAAACTAATTTAAGATTAATTCAAGCCTAGATTAATCCAAGTTGAATTTCGCTGACCTAAGCTAACCTACATTAACCTTATCCTCTAGGCCTGACCTAAAAAACATTTAAACTGACCTCGTCTAATCTAAAACGAGCAGGATACGGGGGTTTCCATTGTAAAAGTTAGGTCGAAATCGATTGCACTCGACCCCTATCGTCTCAAAGTCAACCTGTATTCAAAGACATTTTCTAGTAATTGCGTCAAAAACAAAAGTCCACAGTGCACTAGTAATCGCTCGGAATATAATTGCCTGGAGTTGATTGAGTTTCCTTTTCACTGTTATAAGTTGGCTATCCACCAGATGAACCGCATACAATTTCACCTATCGGGTCCTTTATCATCGCTACCTGAGTTTTTAAAAAAAATACAAATTGATTATGTTGTGCAGTGGACTCGATCTTAACTCGGATAAGATTCAAGCCATGCTATATAGGAAATATTTAATTTTCCTAAGATGGCTAAGATAGAAAGTAAGATATTCGATATTAAAAAAAAATTTGTTTTTAAATAGACCAATGGCCACAATCCAAAGGCTCTTGATTAGTACAGTATCAATTTAACACTATTGCTAACAGAGTTCAATCAACATTGGCTTTGAAAATTTGATTACAAACACACCGCTCGTACGTATACTAACAATCTCTAAATAATATAAATTCAAGTCGTGGAATTTTAATAGAAGATGATGGTTTTATTTCTTCGTGCAAAGGAATAAAAAAATTCGATGCAAGTTCGAAAGAAGCGGGCGGATGAAAAAAAAAGTGTTCGAATAGAGGTTCGACAAAAAAAAAATGATGAAGCCACTTAAAGAGTCGAGAGAGAGAGAGAGAGAGAGAGAAGTGAGGAGAGGTGAAATCAAGGATCAGGCGCGTGGGAGTATCTAGACACGCGTATCTGACATCCCACTCACACACAAATCGTGTCAATAATTATTCAGGTTCAGAACTGTATGCTTCGAGCCCGCAGTTTGCTTCGACACCTACGCACATAGGCACACAAAACTGTTTTCCCATCGCTGATTCACTTCGTATTTACATCGAAATCTGCATAATTGAATGCGTCTCTGGTTTATTAAAAACTGTTTTGATACTTTTGGCTCAAAGTAGAGAAAATATTTTTTTCCCACTGTCATTTAAATTTTATGAGAAGAACACGATTTTTAATCCAAAAAGGATTCGTTGACTAAAAGTATGCGAACTTTACCAGGAGAAACGAAAATTACCTATAAACTCTGTTGTCTAGCAATGGAATTTTAAATATTAGAGATAAAGAATATTAATTTAAAGTATGACGCGTCAAGTAAACCAAAAATTAAGTTACAGAATCGTTAGTGATAAAACTTGGTAGCTTTTTTATTGTCACTACTTTTCGTTTTACTATCAATCACTATACTTTCAGTTTGTCACAATTTTGATTAATATAAAACTTTTTTATCACTACAACACTTTTTATTGTCCTCACTTTTATTGTTATTTGAAGATGTTCTGAGACAACAACAACAAAAATGAAGTAATTAACATATATAATAAAATGAAAAATAACTTCTAAACTTTTTAGTAGATGCACATCTGTATATGTATATAGGAGAAAATTGAGATTTTGATGAAATTGCATTTCAAATGGAGAGTGAGAGAACCTTTTTGTTAAGAATATTGTACTCGCAAGTTTATAGATGATTGAAGAGATAAAGAGATTAAATAGGATAGTACACAAGATAGCCAATGAATTACATCAAGCGAAACGTATAGCCCATCATACATCATACACGCTTCCAAGCGTAAATATGGCCATGATCTTTTAGACTCGCATCGCAAACTTTATTGACTCCATAAACGTTTATACACAATGCTTATATATCGACTTGCTCCGAAATGCACAAACATGCACACACATACATTTATAAACAAGTATACATATAGAAGAGAGTAGAGAACAGAATCCTTATTTTCTCTTCTACAACAATATTTGTTGGTACAAGAAAATACCATATTTACTGAAAACACAATTTCCTCCACTAAAAATACTATATACACTATATCCTCCACTATACACTTCGCTACACTAACGATACACTACTTTCAAAGTCATATCCACGTCATTTGATTTAACCTTGAAATCAGATTTGAAAAGTAAAACTTTAATTACTATTTTCTATATGTAACATGTACAATTTTTCTAAAATTGAGTAAAATCGTAAATATGGATAAAGTTTATAATAAAAAAAGCAAATAATATTGTTGAAAGTGATAGTGGTACAGGGGGAGAAGAAAAAAATAAAAGGAGAGAAAAAAAATAAGAAACAAAAAAAATTATATGAGAAAAAAGGTACTGTAAGAGAATGGAGAAAAAAAAGAATAAGGAACAAGATTCAAACAGACGGATTTGGAGACGCTTGGCTTATCAACCGCGACCTTACTCCAGGATCTCTACCCATAATGCAATGACGTCACTTCCTGTGTCTTCACACGTCCTCTTTCGACAGGAACTTTACTTGTTCGCCTTTTTTTTTTAAAGGTGTGGTCTTAAAAATAAAACTACACTACTTTTCTACCGGAGAAATATACGAAATTATAAAAAATTTAGGAAGTCTAGATAATTAAAAATATTTTAACTCTATAATGTCTGGTAATTTAAGTATATAATGGGTTTAAATAATTAAATCGAAATCTTTAACTGTTAAACCCATTAGTGACAATAGTAGAACCTCTGGTACATATATGTACCTCTTAAAAAATTTGACATTGTAATTCTTATAAATTTGAACCAATTAACAATTATTAATCTCCCGAATAAAAATTAAACTCCGATCTATGTAGACTCTATGTCATCTGGCCTACTAGGCGACATAGGCCTGCGAGTTAAAACTAACATCTATTAAAAAAACAACTTTAACACACTGAAAAAATATTATATAATGTTAAACAATCAAAAAACTCGTAAATATTCCAAATTTAAGATGGCGGATCCAAAATGGCGTCAATTTTGTTTAAATTCACCCAATTCGACTGAAACTTATTACTCGGGGTTTTTGAGGTTGCTAAATACGAATTTCACCTTAGTTTTCAAAAATTCAAAATGGAGGATCCAATATGAGTAACCAAATTTTACAAATTTCATTCGATTTACCTGAAACGTTATACTCAGGGGTTTTTTGGATCGCTGAATACGAATTTCACGTTAGTTTTCAAAAATTCAAAATCTGATAAATTATTTAAACATTCGTTAGCCACATCGGATCCGACATTTTGAATTTTTTAAAACTAAGGTGAAATTCGTATTCAGCGACTCCAAAAACACCCAAGTATCAAGTTTCAAGTAAATCTGATAAATTAAAAAAAAATTCATCAGCCATATTGGATCCGACATTTTGAATTTTAAAAATCTGAGTTCAGATTCGTAATCAGCGACCCCAAAAACCCCCGAGTAACAAGGTTTATGTAGTTTGAACAATTTTGAAAAAAATGTCCGCCATATTGGATCCGCCATTTTGAATTTTGAAAATCTGAGTTCAGATTCGTAATCAGCGACCCTAAAAACCCCCGAGTAACAAGGTTTATGTAATTTGAACAAGTTTGAAAAAAATGTCTGCCATATTGGATCTGCCATTTTGAATTTAAAAAATTTTTTAAATCTGACTTCATATTCGTAATCAGCGACCCCAAAAACGCCTGAATAACAAGTTTCAGATAAATCGAATAAATTTTTTAAAATTCGACCGTCATATTGGATTCGCCATTTTGAATTTTAAAAATCTGACTTTAAATTCGTAATTAGCGACTTGGATTATTCAAAAGACCAGATTGTTTTTGATAGAGGACATTCACACGATCATATTAAGACCTTAACCTCTGTGATCGGTTCCATAATAGAATTTTGGACAACCTACTGATCCGATTGACTTGGAATGTCATATTAATTGATATTAATATGATTTATATAATAATTCCATTATAATTAATTTTATATTTTCTACTTTTTACATTATTAATAAAGAATTAAGAAAATTACCTGAAGCATTTCGAGTCGGCTTGATGACGCTTGAGGGGCCGCCATCTTTCCCCAGGACACTTATTTTTGACCAATCAGAGTGTGGCTTTTTCGTGGTGTAAAACTGAAAGCAGAGAAGAGAGATAGTGGTCTAATTAGAAGCGTAAACGAAAACAGTCGTTACAAACAGCAACGTGTACCGTAATTGCAAAGCAAGTCAGCGTGGTTTAGTGGATTGGTCACCACGAGCAAGCATTATACTCAATCGTGTTCAACAGAGAATGACCTTTATACTAGTTCATATCGTTTTACGATCACGTTATATATATATTCTATCAAACCTCCAATCAAATATATGTCTTATAACAATACACGTTTTCATATATAAATAGTCATAATTTTGACTTTCGTCAGTATTCAAACGAAGAAATACAGGATATTCTATTATATTAAAGAATAATTTTTTGATTTTTCATTTTAGAATTTAGATAATCCAGTCCAGAAGTTCAAAGTAGTACTTTTTATATGTATGTGCATTAATTATTAAATTGAAATAGTAAATAGTTTTTTCAGAAAAAATTCCTAAAATATCGACTTTTTTCGTCTGTCTAACTGGATGTATAACCCCTTAAGAATTTTCGTTCTCAATTCCGATTACATATATATTTTTGTCCAGGAAGGAATTCACTTTAACTTTCCAGCAATATAAAAGAAGAATAGGGGAGAAAAAGCTTCTTTTTTTTTGTTAATACGACGAGACCGTAAGGTGGAAATGCGGGTCCGAGTGACATTGAAATAAGAGAAAATAACATGTTAACTGATACATTCGGGAAGTGGTGAGGAAGAAAGCATGCTCCGCGTTCTCTTGGGTAAATACAACCCTTTCGGTCAGATTACTCGTTTTGCAGAAAAACCCGTGGTACGGTCTGCTGAGTCGAGACACTTGAATGCGACATGAAACGGATCTTGAAAGCAAAAAAAAAAAAAAAATTATATATAGGGAGTAAAATAAAAATAATTATAAATTATAAATAATTATTAACGAATAAAGACCAAACAAAAGCGACACGAAAAGTCACATAAGCTATATTATAAAAAGAAGGGACATTCACCTACAAAATTTGAAGCCGAAAATTGGTTTCGTAGGATGATAAAAAAATCCAGTAAGGACCACTTGAGGATCTACTTAAACAACATATTTACTTTAGTTATATTGATAAACATCATATACTCAAACACCATTTTTATCTTTATAAGTAAATATAGGTTAGAAGTAAATCGTTTCATTATACCATACATTTTTAAGATAAAATTAAAAAAAAAATTTAATTAAAAATTTCAGAAATAATTAAAATCCTTCTTCACCGTAACTTAAATAAAGTTAATGGGTGTGATTTACACTGTACTGCAAATATGCAACTCTGGTAATTTGCGTGTAAACGACTCTTTAATTGAATTAATCATGTCGTTAAAGAGGTCGAAAAATGCAAATTGATGATAGTCAATTTAATCATAATATTATACCTACTCTTAAACAAAAATTCTTATCTAGTTCAAAAAATCTAAAATATTAACAATATTCAAATAAATTTAAGAATTAAAAACATAAAAATTAAAAATTATCGTTATTACTATTAGCATTACTATTGGGCTATTATAATTATTATAATTATCATTATTTTTATAATTTTTATAATTTTTATTATTTGCAGGAAGTGAAAGACCATAACCTTGAAGTTCATTAATAAATGAAGTTATTATCCATTTCATTGACAGAAAGAAAATTCTCGGAATTTAAAAACTTGTGTCCTTAGGAGTAATTCAGAGGAGTGACTCATTAAAAAAAATGACGTAAGCAGTTCACGCGACGCTTATGGTCAAGACCAGTCAAGACCTAAAATAAACGACCTGCATGTACATATAAGAGATTCAAAAAACTTCATTTCAAACTGATTGAATTCAGAAAATGATTATTATGCGAAAGTAAAAATTTTTTCCGAAAAACAATCAACAATTTTATGAAGAAATATATTTTTCTAATTTTACATTTAAATAATTTAACTTTTTTTTCACCAAAGACATAATAAAATACTTTAGAAATAATAAAAAAAATAATTTTTTATTTCATTTCATTTATTTAAATATTTTTTAAAAATAAATTTGAATTACAAATGAATTTTAAGTTATGAATTTAAAAATTTATTGTCAATTTGAAACTAAATCACTAAATTCTTCACAGAATGAAATCCGGTTTATAATTTTTAATCGCACATTGCAAATATATTTCTATTGAAAACCTATCAGTTCTCCTGTCCATTTACGAAAGTTCCATTGATTTACATTTTATAATCGTATTTCTGATAATACTGCAAAAAAAAAGAGAAAAAAAAATTGCAAAATGCAACATTCTTTCCATGAATTACCGATTCATGTTTTCACCGCGATATCAGTACGTATATATTTTATTTCTGTGTCAATTGATGTTATTCACCGAGAAAAACACGTGGGTCGCATATTCAAAGTGTTTTTTCACAGAAAAAATTGAAAATAATAAATAAATAAACAAATAATAAATAAATAATTAATAATAAATAAACAAATAATAAATAAATAAACAAATAATAAATAATTAGTATATAAAATGAAATAAATATAAAAATATAAATTAATTACGAAAAAAAATTTCATTATTTTAAAAATTTTACTTGATTTATATCGAACTATTTTTATGGTATATTTATATCAACTTTACTTCGATTTATTGATAGTTACTACATTTTTTTTCCATGAATAACTAATTACTTTATGAATATATTTATATTAATGCGCACGTCACGTGTGCTCTAAAATATTGAATTAGAAGTTATTTCTATTTTGAGAAACATTTTTATACAAAATTCAAAAACAAAAATTTCCATCTCCTTTACTATTGTTAAAAACATTTTTTTACCTTAAAAAACCTTTAAAAAAATATTCTTTATTTAAACTTTTTGATCATAAATATTGTTAACTTTTTTTATTGAAGAGAATAAAAAAAGCGTGTAAATTACAAAGTTTAAGTGTCAACTACTGAGTAACATTTATTTTTTTGGGGTAAAATTTTAAATAATGGTTTGAAATTTTTTTTTTTTTTAAAACTCACCTTAACTCGATAGAAGTATTTGAATTGATGAAAAAACTGACAGTAAACAAAGGACGTCCTCACTGAAAGAGGACCGGTGTTCAACTGACAAGCGAACAGCTGTTGTGTCCCTTTCTCTTCGGTTCCCCAAAGTCATGTTTCGTTGCATTTTGATGCTCATTGTTTATTATCTCGATAGTTTTCAAATTTTCTGAAACGATATACATTTTTTTAAGATTGTAAAAAAGTTTAACGTAATTTTTAAATTAAATTAAAAATAAATTTAATTAAAACAAAATTGAAATTAATTTTAAATTAAATTGAAACTAAATTGAAATTAAATTAAAATTAAACTGAAATTAAAAAATTATATTTAAATTATAAATTAAAGTTATACTGAAATTAAGTTAAAATTACTTTAAAATTAAACTGAAATAAAATTAAATAAAAATTAATAAAATTTGAATTAAGGAATTAGACTATCCTGAATTAAAAAACGATTTTTTTTTGCTTAATTTCAATGTATTAAGTCTTAGAAATAATTTACAATAATCCCGATGCCAATATTCAAATAATTATAATAGTTATTATGACTAGTTAATGACCGCGCGGCCGGAGGGAAGTCGAGAGCCGCTTAACCGCCTGGCGCATATGTAACGCCGATCAACCTTTTCAAATTATTATATTATAATATTGTAAATTATTTATTACAACGTTGCGTAGGTGGTTTTTACGTAAAATAATAATGAAAGCTTGAATTCAGTGATTTAATCCCTTGCACCAAAAGTTAAATCGAGCGGTGCTAAAATAGTCGAAATATTACATTTATTGATATATTTTTGACAAAATAAATTATTAAAATCTTTTTTTTTTGAAAATATAATATTTCTTTTAAAGCTGAATATATGTAACTTAATTCTATAAAAATTTGAAATTTCCAACCCTAACAGTTTTTTTTTAAATATTTCTCCCCGAATGTCTTATTTTAAAGTGGTCAAGGTGTTTCAACCCCTTAAAAATTATTTTAATGTAAGATTTTAATTAAAATAAAAAATTAAATGTAAATATGAAATATTCAAATACTAAATAGTATGATTCGGTAATTATGTGTACTTTATATAATGGTTAAGAGAGGAAAATCTTTTATGAAAAAAAAAAATAAAAAAAAATGAGATAAGTTGTCGGCGTAGTTAAATTGGAATTTTTATAGCTTCATGTTTTTTTTCATCTCGTATTTTTATTAAAGTTAAGAACTGAGCATTGTCCTCATTTTAAAAGGGAGTTTCGCGAAAGTTGTTTTGCGAGAGGTCTGAACGAATATAAAGTTCGCATACTGAATGTCGTCTCGCGTCACGGATGAAACTTGCCAGAAATTTTCATTTAATATAGTCTGCACAAGCTACTTAAATTTTTTTCCACTTTTAATCATCGCTTTTTAGATTCGAGAATTTATTAATTTTTGTTGTTGTTGAGTATCCATGTTAAGTATATTTTTCATAACTTTCAAGTACCTACAAGTGTCTGGGGGAGAAATTAAATTTACAATATCAAAATAAACTGATGTAAAATTTAAAATTAAAAAAAATGTTAAATTTATAAAAAAAAGGTTTATAAATTATATTATAATCTATATTTTAAATTCTAAATATTTTTAATTATATTAAAAATTATATTATAAATTGCATTATCAAAAGCTAACTATTTTAAAAACTGTAATATAAAAAAATATGAAAAATTTTTTATTGACTGTAATAAGAAAATTATTTTTAATCAAAATCGTTAATTATAATTATCTTTAGTTCAAATAGAAAATAGAATTATATTCCACATTTTTGGCTTTTTCAAAGAAAGTATATGAATTTTTGAAAAATTAAAATTGAAGGTAAATTTTTAAAAGAAGGTAATGAAGATTTCTATTTATAATGAAAAGTTTCCCGATATTTTCTGTAGATGGAGGGAGCGTACACTGTCTGACTAAACTCGAGTTTACTACTGAATTTTCGTTCTCACTACTTTATAATGCAACACCTCAACTCTAAAACGAATTTATTTAAATTGATAATTTTAATAATTGAAAAAAAGTATACTTAAAATATTTCAATTTCAGTAATTTAAAAATTTGTAATTAAAAATTTTTTTAAATACAATAAAAATATATTAATATTTTACTGGAGTAGATGCATAAAATTTTAAAAAAAGTAAAAAATTTAAATAAATAAGAAATTTCATTATACGAAACAAAGCAAAAGTAAATTTAAATTATAATAAATAAAATATGTTGATAGAAATGATAAATTAAAAAAGTTGCAATTAAATTAAAACACGAATTTATCTTCACTTTAGAGAAATTTAATATAAAAATTGACAAAAAAAAAGAGAAACGCAAACAGTCTGGTTAACAGAATAAATAAAAAATTTGTGTGTTTTACAAATATATGAGAAAATATGAAAAACTTCAGGTCACTGAAGCTGTACACAGTTTCATTCTTATATTCACATTAAAATAATGAAGCAGGTCAAGTGAATGAGGAATTGAGCAGAAATTTAAATTAAGAAACGTGATACAAATAGAGTGAAAAAAAATTTGAAATCAAATTAAAATAGAACAAATCCAATAAACAAATATTGAAAAGGCTTTCCAAATAATTACTTCGCATCAAGCAAAATCGATTCATTTGTCATCCCAGTCGTAATTGAAAAACTCTCATCGAAATTAGACTCTTTCGTGTTTCACAATTTTCGTCTCATTTCCTCTCACTTTCTCTCATATATATATATATATATATATATATATATATATATATATATATATATATATATATATATATATATATATATATATATATATATATATATATATAAAAAACTAAATTTCAATTAGTGTATGAAAAATTATTCAAATTCGTTTCTTGTATTTAAAGGAAATTTTTATTTTTAGAATTTAACGTTACTTTTATCTTTTTATCCAAAATTATTAATTACTGTAAAGAATCTACTTATCTGGGAATTTTTATTCAGTTGCCAATTATAGAAACACGAATGGAAAATAGGTTACAGGTTAAATAAAATAGTACTAATTTTGTTTTAGGCAATAATTAAAGGATTCTTGGTAATTTAGTTGATAATTGTAGATTCACGAAGAGAAAATAGTTTTTAGTAGTAAAAGAAATATATTAATTCATGAATTAATAATAATAGAATATTAATATTTCTATTAATGACCGGGAAGCTCTTGGTTTCTTAGTTGATAATATAGAATCACGAAGAGAAAATAGTTTTAGGAAAAACACCATATTTAAGAATCTTTTTTATTATCTGTCATCATGTGATTCATTGAGTAACAAATGATTGACTACTCGATGTTCACTTCCACTCTATCGCTTTGTTACTGGGCCCGCGGCGGGACTAGATATTTCGACTTTCCACCGTGGCGCTAGTAGTCTTCTTCCTTCGTGTTCAACATATTTTCCAAGAGTTCGTGCACATTTGATTCTAATATGATTATTTCCAACTCTGAGTGTATCTACTTTCTGTAGCTTTAATCAAGTACGAATTCCTCAACACTGAATATAGAATGTCTACAAACATTTATACATAATAAAAAATAAAAAATGTAAAAAACTGTCCTTGACCAGCATATTGTATCTTTGAATACGAAAATTTTGCTCGTCGTGCAAATGTGAATTTTGTGTGTGTATATATGCACAGTACACCCAGGAATATATTATTTGAAACGGAGGGATGCCACACACGTACGGGAAACGGATATTCGACGGTAGAAACGCCTCGGCAAGCTATCTTGTGAGTCGATAAATCGTTTTCCGACTCTCTGTGTACCTAAAATAGTTGAATCCAAAATATACCCTCCTTATAACTCTTTCTGTTCAATATTCACAATCTATAGTACAAGAGTGAATCCCTTTTTTTGTGTTATAATCTTTTCATATTATGTTCAGTGAATTTTTTTTATTGTTGCAGGAAAAAAGTTGATATCAAAAGTTTAAAGGTCAAACTTCCTATACTGTGACCTGATTCTTTTTTTCGTTTTGCAATAGAAATATAATGAAAATTAGCTTCTATTAGATTGACCTTAACCTATGCAAATGTACTACGACTGGTACGTTTGAAAATCAATTTTAATGATAAGGGTTGTTTTTTTTCTATATCGTAAACTAGTGGGAAAATGAGAAATTTTTTCCTGAAAAACAAAAAAAAAATTATATATTTTCGTTGAAGGAGAAGATATAATAAAATTTTGAATAAAAAGTTTCTTAAATAATAATTTAATGATCTGTTATTTAATTTCATTTTATTGTAGTAAATTCTCGGGGGAATAAGTTGGAAATTCCTTTAAAGGAGACAGCAATCAATTCATGGAAAAGTTTTCATCGCGCCTTTGATTTATCATTTTCAAGATACTCTTTGAAACACCTTAACAAGAATTCTTTTAGTATTTAAATAATATCTCACATTGAAACGATAACGTCGTCTCCATTTAAGAACCAATCATTTTTCATCGTGTACAACTCCCGCCCCCCTCAAAGTGAAATTGACATTATTTACTGCAAACAAAAGAATAAAAATCAACCCTCGAGATTCTCGTTTCACCTTCCAAGTATAAAGTGAAATACACCTCTTCCGATAATTTTCTGTAAACTTGTTTTGTTTGTTTCTTCTTTTAAACTTTCAACAGAGTAATGAAAAATTGAAAAATTCAGCGTTTTTATTTTTCCCTTTTAACTCTCTTTGTTTCTCTTTCGACAAATTTTCTTCACGTAATTGCAGTGGAAGTTTTAAGACTTTTTTTTAAGGAACAGAAAAAGTTAAAGGGAAAAAATTATAGCGGCTACCTTAAATGATTAATAGAAGTATTAATTTAATTTAAAATAATAAATAAATTAAAATAATGCAGCAAAAAAATAATTTAAAAAAAATACAGTTGGTAAAATTCTTAAGTTAAAAAATATTATAAACTTTTATTACTTACAATAAACAGGATGGTCAAAAAGTCAATACATAGAAATGTCCTCCTTTCCCTCAGTGTTTCACTAATATATTTAGAATAATTCAAAATAAATTTTTAGAATTATTTTTCATAAAATTATTAACTCACTAACACTTAATTAAATTATTAAAATTTCTAAATGTCAAACTTTGAATAGTATCGAATTTTC